TTTCACACAGTAGGTAGCTATTCCACATCTTTACATCTATATATTCTCTCAATAACGAAGTATAGTTAGTGACGGTGTTGTGTTGAGAATATACCTACAGTGTGTTTTGTTCTCCGACATATATCTCGATAGAGGTTATAGGGATGAGCCACTTTTGAGAAACACTCGGTATACTATTATACAAAGTTAAGTTGAGCGAACATAAAAGAAGTTTTTGAAGATATTTGAATACTTCAACTTATTTGCTTATATATAAGCTTATACTTCAACTAATTTGCTTATATATAAGCAAATAAGTTGAAGTGGTCAAATATCTTCAAAAACTTCTTTTTTTTTCGCCCTGTTTATTGATGGTGCAGGTACAAATATTTGAATGGTTAATATTATCATATTACTAATTATTCAAAATTTGCTAAAGTGTCAATTTGTTTATAATCTATTTTGTTCATTTTGGGATTTGTTCAACAACAACAATTTGCTAACATTATTTCTTTTTTGAATGTTGAATTTGCTGATTCAATTTTATGTAGACCAGGTACTTTTTATAATCTCAACTCCTAGAACAAACTAGTCAATAATATGGTCGACTCTGAATATTGTCAGTATTTTGAGTTCAATTGTAACCATTTTTGTCTTCGTAATAAGAATAATTTTTTAAATGATAGGTATAGATCAAACTACTTCTCACATACAATACTCTTGTCAGGAGTAGTCAGGATATAGACTATTTCTGTCAGAATCGCAGTCCATTTAAATGGATTGTAAGATACATATTTTTCGCTCAAATCAATGAAAAATCATATTCCTCAAGTTCCCAGATTAAATGGAATTGATACATCGTGCTATCTGTTGGGCAGCCGAAATACTATATAAATAAATAAATAAATTGATAATAATATAGGTAATTATAATGATGAATAAGTGTCAAAATATTTTTCAGTATATTATGAAATGTTTCAGTAGATCAGTAGATAAACATGCAAATCAGGAGATCTACTGAAAATTCAGTCGAACTGGCAACCATGCAGCGGACGAGAAGTATTTGCGAACGAAAAGTACTAGCCTTCGGAAATAGTCGGTTTTTCGTTCGGAAATTAGAAAGTAAATTGAGATTTTTTTGTCTAGTAATTTACACCACACAGATCCTAGAGCGAACACCCAACACAATCACCCTGAAGTGAATCTACAAATTCTTGTTGATATATCGAAGACTGGAACCTTTGGCACGATAATACACTACACTATTTTACCACTAACCAAACCGATTTTTTAACGCCTCGACACGTGTTTCGCTAACTATGTTAGCATCTTCAGGAGAAGATTAATACTGAACTAAATCTTCTCCTGAAGATGCTAACATAGTTAGCGGAACACGTGTCGAGGCGTTAAAAAATCGGTTTGGTTAGTGGTAAAATAGTTTAGTGTAAATTCTTGTTGATTTTGAAGTTGAATCTATCAACATGGAAGGTATGGTATGTTCCTCACTCTGGAAAAATGCAACCATTCCACTACATATTCGTGCAGACTCGAGGGAGGAGACTCAGTTCGAAGAAGCCTACTTCTTGTCGATTCATCTTAAATGCTGACATAGTCAATGTTACATTTTTACGTAGAATTTGGAAATCAGATTATTTGCCTCAATATCAGAGATTGAAGATTGTAGATGGGTCGTATAGGCTGGGAGACCTCTCGATCCTCTCGATCACTGCGACCTAGAAGATCTTTTGTGATTACCCCTATCTAGTTTTGGTCCTCTAACCCCAGACTTCTGATGAAACCTAAGATTTTCCTGACGGTTGACTTTTCCACTTCAGCAGGGGTGAGATAGACCTGTTCTAGGTGGTTCAGCCTTTGGCGGACTAATACTTCACATGAGCAAAGTATGTGTTCCGCGGTTTCGGTCGCATTGGTACAAAAGCGGCAAGTGTCAGTCTCCGCCAGACCCATCTTTTTGAGGTGGTACCTCAGAGGGCCGTGTCCTGTGAGAAAGCCTGTGATAAGCTTTAGCTCTGGTTTGCTGAGGCTGAGCAACTCTTTGGCTCGGTTCTGCGAATGGGCGATGAACCTTTTCGCTTGTCGTTGACCTGGAGTTGCTGTCCAGTAGGAGGACTTTTCAATTTCTTCCCATTTCCCGAGTTCTTCCTTTAGGTGACATTTGGTTATCCCTCTTCATGCCCTGGAACTCACATAAGTGTGACTTTGTTGCCCTTTCCCAGTTGCATGAGTGTTTCAAAGCAGTCCCATGTAATCTTTGATGTGAAAACGAATGATTTTAGGGCTTTTAGTGCGGCTTGGCTGTCTGAGCATATATATATGTTGGCACCCCTCAGACCTTTGCTCTGCCTCAATATCAACCTCGATACCTATCGATGAGGCTTCGGTAGACAAGCATGTTTGAAATCCCTGATGATAAGCCCCTCTGCTCCCGATTTGATCCGGGCTGTCTACAGAATGTATAATGGCTTCAGTGCTCTGGAATAATCCCTTTGTCATTGATGAAGCTCTAATCTTCGTATAGCTGCATATAGCTGTGAAAGTTTGATACTATTTAGTGAATGAGATGAAAGCTAATAGCAAAAATAGCTGATAAATTTAGCTCCGAAATGTGCGTTTTTTGTGCTGTATTCATAGCACAAGCTCCTTCGATACTCACTCGGTATATGAGAGGTTTAATAACTTTTTGTTCTTACCTGTTACTCGAATTGATAAATATTAAAGGATTTACATAATTCTCGTTGGTCAATGTTGATTGTTTACCTGCCTTGAGTAACATACGAGTTTCTTATAGGTCAACGTCCAATTTCTCAAGGTAGTTCATCGTGTGCGATTCAATGTAAAATGTTATACAGGGTGAGTCATAAGGACCTTCTTCCAATTATATACAGGGTGTCCCACTTACCATGCTCACCATGGGTATCTTAAACGGTGAGAGATACGAGGTCGGTTAAATGACACCAAATGTGGAGTTTGTCAAGGCCAACTATAATGTGAAAAAATATTTTTATAAAATCTATTCGTTTTTGTTTTATACGCAAAAAACAGATTTCGATCATTTTCATGTCTCCTCCGTAACTTCTTTATTTATGAAAATATTCAAATAGGAATTTCACATTCTCATGGCAGTTTTTCAAAGTGATTTCGAAAAAAATATGAAATTTATACCAACTCTTCTAGAATTTGAGATATCAGCACCAACTTTAGTTTTTCAAATGTAGGTCATAACTCCCTATGACTTAGTTACAAAAAACTTTTTTTTCTCTCTCAGATAATTTGTCGCAGTTATAGTTTTCTGTTGATAACAACGGAGTTATCGTCATTTGTACAAGAACAAAAAATTATTTGGAAGCCGCCATCTTGAATTTATAAATTTTAACAAAAAAATCATGATCTCCGACCTCAAAAACCCCCACTTACCAATTTGGAATGGAATCGGACCAAATCTTGTCCGCCATCTTGGAGCAGCCATTTTTTTTAATTTCAAGAAAAATTCCATAACTCCGATTAACTTGAAATTTGGCAGGTGTTCATAATTTCGGTGACGATACAGTATGGACTTAGGAATTAGGCAATTTATTAGGTCATGCGAAAGATAAGCTCGACACATTCAAAAAGTCAGGATTATACGAAATTAATTGTAATGATTGTGATTAAACATATATAGGCCATACCAGGCGACCCATAAAAACAAGGTTTGAATAACACACATATAAATAACCTCAAATTAGTTGAGCATGTTGATAATGTTAGAACGTTAGATGCATATGAATGCTTAAAGATATTTAAGAATAGTAATAGAGTGATGAATAAGGTAATTTAGTGATATAAGACCAAGGTTGACATGTGAACTCAACTATAACTAACATTAGCTTGGCGATTAGTGCCTTTCACGGTTGGGTGGACATATACCTAGTATATAAGTAGCACACTAGGATAAAACATTCAGTTTCAATCTTCCCCTGAGGATGCTAACATAGTTAGCGAAACACGTGTCAAAGCGTAAAAAATCGATTTGGTTAGTATGCTATGCACTGAAACTTAGAATTATATTTAGCAAATTTGTGTAAACGTGGATCTCCCGATACTCTATCTGCTGAGACAAGAAAAGAAGGAATCAGTTGAAAACTATAGATTTTACAAAGTTGCTGCTAATAGAGTGATGAATAAGGTAATGGACCTTTTCCATTTAGCCCTCTGTATAGTTTAGTGATATAAGACCAAGGTTAACATGTGAACTCAACCATGACTAACATTAGCTTGGCGATTAGTGTCTTTCACGGTTGGGTGGACATATAGCTTTAGTATATAAGTAGCACAATAGGATAAAACATTCAGTTTCAATCTTCCCCCAGAGGATGCTAACATCGCTAGCGAAACACGTGTCGAAGTGTAAAAAATCGGTTTGGTTAGTATGCACTGAAACTTAGAATTATAATTAGCAAATTTGTGTAAACGTGGATCTCCCAATACTTTATCTGCTGAGGCCAGAAAAAAAGAAATCAGTTGAAAATTATATATTTTACAAAGTTGCTCCGGTCTTGAATGGGTCACACTGTATAATGTGACTCATTTCTTCGGGTTTTATGGGATTTTCTCTCTTTGTTTCACGTATAGTAAGGACAAAGTACATGATTTTCCTCAAAATGTAACCGCGTTTGAAAATTTCACTCTCAGAGAGTGTTGTCCATTATTATAGGACATGAGGAAATATTCATGAGTTTAGGAAATATCAGGTGAAGTATATCCAAAATCAATTGCAGAATATCCCGCACCATGCGGCTTCGGCAGGTTTGAAGTTTCCTTAGAAGTGAGTGCAGGTGCGACACGAGACCCATCTGCAATTGTTTTTGGATAAACTATACTAAGAACTCCCAACCGGCATAATTCCACAGATACTTGCGGATCGGTGAAGTCCCAAATTGGATTGGAAAACCATTTTGAACCAATGATTCATTAAGGGATTTGAGAAAATCGAAAGGCAAAGGTGGAATTATTGAAACGTGTATGAACTCATCATTTATTGATTCCGAAAAAAGACAAGACATGAAATGCATTCACTCAATTTCAATAAACGACGCCATATTGCAACAATTGTTCTGGAACAATTTGATTTTGATGAGCTTTCTGAAACATGAAGTTTCCCCATGGGCTGATAACATTCGGCTGACGACTGTGTGAATACAAATATTGTTGGCCCCACACAACCGGTTGTACTTCACCAAAATATCCAGATCGTATCAACTGATCGTGATACTGAGATTGCCCATAAATGCTCCTGAATTGTTCAAAATTGAGTCTATGGCTTACATAATATTCAATCCAGCTTTGGAAGATCTCGTAAAACTCTAGTTGTTCTTTGCGTCCAATGTTTTGTTGATTAGAAACGATCAACTGTCGAACGAAAATATCCAATGGATATAACAAACTGCTCCAGCTAATACTATCGATATTTTGTTGTGAGATCAAATGACAAGCTCTGGAGAGATCAACCAACAATTGTTTCTGGGCACTAGACAGCTGTTGTTGGAATGCATTCCACTTATTCTGCATGACTTCGTATTTTTGTTCATCAAGCTCGCTCCAGATGCCACTAAATTTCTGTACTCTCAGACTGATCCATTGGGGGAAGAAAGCTCTGAACTGTTGTAATTGTTCTTGGTTCAGCTGCTGTTGGAACATAACCCATCTTTCATAGATGTTTTGCAATGTTAGTTCAAGATTGACCAGATTCTCTACATAATTAACCCACTCCTGGTAGAATCTAATGAAGTAGTGGTTCTGCACAGATTTCATTTCTTGTGGACCAGAGAACAGTTGATGAACGAAACTTTTCAATCGGTATCCCACTTGTATCCACTCTCCAGGATTGATCTGCTGGCGCATTATCATAACACAAATCTGGTAAATATAGTTGAGTTCTTGTTGTTGTTCAACACTCAGCTGTTCGTACAGTTTGACCAATTGGTAGCGGAGATTGTAGTATTGGTATTGCTGGGGTTGACTCCATATTCCGCTTACCCTTTGTAGATTGTATTCAATCCATCGTGGTAAAATAACGCTGAGTTGATATTGCTGTTCAAAACTAAGTTTTTCTCCTAAACTGACCCATCGTTGGTACAAATTGGACCACAGTTGTTCAAGTTGACTCAACTGCGCGAAGTTCAATTCCTGTTGAATTGCAATCCATTGTTTGTAAATTTTACTGAGCGTTTGGCGGTGGCCAAGGCTCAAGCTTTGTTGAAAACTGGTCCATTCACCATGGAGATTGTCGCAATGATATTGTTCAGCGCTGAGCACTTGTTCACAGTTGATCCACTGCTCGTACAAGTAGGATAATTGTTTGAGTTCTTCAGGGCTGAGTTGTTTCTGGAAGTTGACCCACTGTTGGTGAATGATATTTAATTTTTCTTGCTGTACAGAGCTCAGTTGGGAGTGCTGAATGTTAATCAGCTGCAGGTACAGTTTGTAGCCCTGTTGTACAGACTCGTAGTCGGCATGATTTGCCCATTGTTGATAGTAGTTCAGGTGTGGCTTGTAGAGACTCAGCAATTCTCTGGAGACTGGCAGGTATCCATCGAGTTGCTCTTCTGCATCTCTGTAATAAAGAAATAATAATATACTCACTGCTCAAATTTGTTGGGAGCTGATTTCTCGCTTGGTTACTTTCGAAAGGGAATAATTGAATGAAAAATTGAGCAACAAAAATCAATTCACTTGATTATTCACGTATTTATTGGGGTTATTGGGAAATATCAATGGGTGTCTTGAGATAACCTATATTGAAATTTGGAGTTAAGTCAAGTTTCATTTTGTTTTCCCGAAAAACTAAGCGAAATAAAAAAGTAACACAAGGAAAAAGAAGGTTTTTCCAGTGGTTCAGTTGTTCAATCCCACGAAGATATATAACTTCAAAATACAGGTGGCGTACTATAATATTCACCCTGAATAGCAATAAGGAATTACTATTCCTAATCTAATTCACCACCAGACTATCGAGCAATTAATAAAAAAAAACGATTTTTTATGAAAACATTCAAAATGAATTTGTATAATTTCAATCTTGAGTCAGTTCTGATCTTCATATCTATTCATTTGAAGTTCATGTTCCAAAACGAACCTGTCATTTTGAGAATCGGTTGACGACGAAAAAAGTTATGTCTGCAAAACTAAAAAGTCAATTTTTTAATATCACTCTTTGAATAAAAGAGATGAGAGGATACTTCAAAAAATGTCTCTGCTGTCAAAGTAAAAGGAAATGTTCGTCCATTTGTGATCCTTTTCGAAAATTCCGAGATTTCGAACAGTTTTAGGTGACACCCTGTAGCGATTTTATATGAAGAACCTCATGTCCTTAAGAAGTATCAGAAGGACTGAGCTAGCGAACAATGTGATTTGAATTCGGATTGTTCAAAACAGAAAAAAATTATTCATATTTTGACAGGGTCAGAACTTATAATTCATAAAATATGAATTATAATTTCTAGTTCTATTTTTACTCAAATGTTTGATTCTGGTTCCGAACATATCATAAGCTGTAGGTCCTGTTCTTATAAACCTCGCATAATTATAAACTTTTGGCGAGTCAGTTTTCAACATTGAAGTAACAATATATAAGAATTTGGAAAGTGTCAATTGTGAATATTTGAAGAATGAGAAGAGAATACTCTTTGAAACTCTCCAATATTATGGTTTAATTTGAAATATTACCTCTGACTGCTAAGAACGTTTCCATATGCTGGATATTGGACATCATACTCAGAATCAACTGGAACTCTTCCATATAATACTGGTTCGTCTAATTGTGGTACCTCGTATTTGTTGACATACAAAGGATCTTTTTGCCAGGCTACATTTTGTCTCAAACCGTTGAGGAAGCTTCCATATTGAACACCACCATGGTGGTTTCCACCCAATCGAGATCCAGATGATCCACCGTTCTGCTGAATACCATATTCTGTTTCAACTTGATCTCCTAGTAGTTTGATATCACCATGTATTCCTCTCAAAATATTGTAGACGGAGGGGCTCAAATCTCCTGACTGGACATAGCTATGTACTTTCAACAACAGGTTGTTATAAGATTGATCATCAACAACTCCTTGGTATTGTTGGAAGATTCCATAAATGATGTCTGCTGCATTTCTTGGTCTTTCCTCCCCAGCATCAACACTCTTCGAGTTGTTTTCTACGTCAAGGTATATCTTCTCGAAGACTCCAGAAGGACTTCCAACTGCGATTTCGATGTTCTTGCCGTGATTCTGGGAGTTCTTCGAAATAATCACCCACCTTCCATATTGCCCTAGGATCTTGATGGAACCATCTTCGCCTATGGAGATTTTCCTACCGCCGCCTACTGGCGAAGAGTAGCAAAACGCTAATAATGTTAGAAGGATGAAAGCACACTTCATCATCGCGCACTGTTGGGAGTGTGTCCTTTCTGAGGAGGTATGAAGATTTTTATAACGAATTATTATCTGTGTTTGTTGAAAAGAAGTATGTGGATGATCTCGAATTAATTTTAGATCAACTAGGGTGATTGTTCGTTGATTAAAAGTTCAAAAAAATATGTTTTTGTTGTATTCTAGAGCTAATTAATTTTTTATCGGTGTCTGCAGCTGATAGGAGTGGTTGCATAACGCATTGGTATCTCGCGAAATTGTTTAGGTGTAAGAGAATGTATATCAAGAATGCCGACAGCAAATGCAATGAATATCAATGATGATGAATATCAAATGCAATTCATAATTAGAATAGGGAATAAGGACAAATAGGGAACTGAAAACTATGACTACTATGAGATTAGTTTCTTCATGCAAAAAATCGGATTTGCGCAAGATGCAGAGTGCCCTCTATGCATGGAGGAGGATGAAACGGCTAAAAACATTTTATTATGTATGTGCAGCGGCCAGAACCAGTTTCACAACATTTGACAATACAACAGTAGGGCCAGCAGACCTGATAAATTGTTCTCCCAATGTAGTCCTCGTCAAGAGATGAGATATACTGGGAGAAATATAACCATAGGGTGAGCCACAATAGGTCATTGGCCGCAGTGGAGGACCTAACATCGGCCTATTCACGTTTAAACCTAACCTAACCTATCATGATGATTACATCAAACATCAGTATATTTCCTTGAACCTACAGGGTGTCCCATATTTAGAGTGCAATACTTCACCAGCAGATTTAACGATCAAAAACAAGAAAAAAAGTTCTTATGAACATAGGTCGAATAATATTTCATAAGCGAGCTACACCCCCCTAAAGGTGCGGTACCCTGAAGATGGTTTTTATTTTATATCTTCGAAACAGTTGATAGCAGAATTTTGAAATTTTACGAGTCAGCCAAACTTTTTATGTTCAATAATATGCGATAATAATAATTTCGAAATTCCATCCAGAAATGGGTCAAACTATGGGGGTGGGGGTTAAAATCACCCCAACTTTCTTGAGTGCGGTTTTTTTGCAACTTCAGCAAGAAATTATGAAACTTTCAAGACTTTTGTACCAAAAGGTTCCTATTATTTGACTCCGTGAGGAAGTACGGATCTCTAGTAAAATCGATTTGAAAATTATCTCACATGTCATAAAAATTCATAATGAAATTACAAAAATTAAAAAATTGAGCGTAGGCCATGAAAAACGACCACTATGGGCACTATGTTTGGGAAAAAATAATCAAGACAGGTGACAGATTACCTGTCTCCACTGTTCTGATGAACTGAGTTTATAGAAGCAGGTGAAGTAAATCACAACCCAGACAGGTCCCAGAAGTCTGTCCGAACAGCGCCAAAATAAACACGCGGGAGGAGCTCCTGTAGAGGTTGAATGAGGCTGCAAAAGAAATTAGATTGAACCAATTTCAAAAATTCTGCGTGTTTCCCAGGCTATAAGTCGTCGGACCCGACTATAAGTTTAACAAACAAATAAAGCCGATTTGAAAAAAAAAATGTCGTTTAGATGAATAATTTAGTATTTTTTCATAAAATAAATAAATTTGAAAACCATTCTGTCACTTATTTCATGAATTTTTCACCTTTCTTGATAATTTTAGCACGAACCTAGTGGTCGTGTTTCATGACCTACGTAAGTTTTCTAATTTCTTCATGAATTTCCATATTTTTATGACATGTGAAATAATTTTCAAATCGATATTAATCGAGAACGGTGCTTCCTACCGAAGGTAAACTAGAGGAACTTTTTCATGCAAAAGGCTTTGAAGTTCAATAATTTTTTGCTAAAATCGCGACAAAACCGCAACCGAAAAAGTTGGGGTGATTTAACCCCCCCCCCCCCCCTACAGTTTGGCCCACTTCTAGATGACATTTTGGGATAATCATTATCGCATATAATTATAGTCATGAAAAGATTGGTCTACTTGCGAAATTTCATATTCCTGCTATCAACAGTTTCGAAGATATTAAATAAAAACCATCTTCAGGGTACCACCTCTAGGGGGATGTAGCTCGCTTATGAAACGTTATTTGACCTATGTTCGTAGGAACTTCTTTTCTTATTTTTAGTCGTATTTTCTCCTGGTGAAGTATTGCACGCTAATTATGGGACACCCTATATATTATCTTTGTTAGCTCTTTGTTGGACCAGACGATTCTCTTGAGTTTTGAAAATAGTGAACCACAACTTGAGTTTTGTAGATTCCATAAGACATCTTCCTGTAGAACTTACAACGATCAAACTTCATATCTAAGCTTCACTGGTAATTCAATCTCCTGAAAGTTTGATAGAGGCTGAATTAAAAGAGCATAATATTGAACAATTGACACCCTATAAGAGGTTTTTGCGGTAAAATTTCGTATGGGGGTATTTTAGCTATGACAGAGTCGAATTGACTATCCACTTTATCGGAAAAATGCCTGATCGTCATTTTTAAAATTTTGATCACTTCAACAAACAATAGTTGTCCTTGAAAATCTGAATATTTCAGAGAGCCGTTCTGGAGATAATTGTGAAAAAACTAAATTATCGATTATGTTTTTCGAGTGCTTGACCATTCATTTCGTGAAATAGAAAAAACCTACATGAATATTTTTTCTTTTATTTCATATGTTATTCTATCTGATAATACCATATTTTTGATACAACGTATCGTTCATCAAGGGCCGGCCTCAACTTATCAGAGATGTCAATAATAATAATAATATTAAGAAATTTGGCCAATTCATTTTGTGACGGGTTGTCGTTTCATCCATATTTTTATTGAGATTTTCAAACATGAGTTATGAATTTGGCGATGAATTATGTAATTAGTTGGACCAGAAAAAACTAGGTGATTTTTACGGATTTTTTGCATTGATTTTCAACAACTTGATCGAGCAAATGAAAAATTAAGATTGTCTATCTTATCGATTTTGGCTTCTTCAAGGTAAGAAGTCCGCAAATCTGAATGCGGAACCATTGAAAAATGAAAGGAATCAACATTATAACCATATTATTTGTAGCCTTGGCAGCTCTCAGCATTCATTTGTTTTTTCACAACGTCTACAACAATTACCGATATATTTCAATACATACAGTGTGTGCGATTCCTACTTGCAACACCCCCCTCATTTGGAAATCAAAAATTCTGAGAGCTCGTTGACGGTCAATTTTTATTCCAAATCGGAAGGTTGTTGGAAGTTGAAATCGCACACACTGTATATTAGGAATTCCTTCCGAGTGTGATTCCCTAGAACCGATCTTGGAAGCATTATTCTGTTTGAAATACATGCTAATTAAATAATTTGTATGCCTAACCGAGCACTAAGTGGATATTTCCTTGTGCAATGATGTATCAATACTTGCCAATAATTGTTGTACATAAACGAATAGGTTGATCAATAAACATCCTGGCATAAGGCCAAAAACCATATAAAAGACAATTGTTACTCCGAGACTATTTTAGTTTTTCCTCTAGTTGTTTGAAACACGTCGAAGAAAAAATGATTCGACTCAGTTCTTTGTTTTGCTTGCTAGTGGTAGTTTTCTTCGTTCATGGACAAAAGTACCAGTCCAAATATGACAATATAGACGTTGACTCGATCTTGACAAACAGACGAGTACTCAAGAGTTATTTGCGGTGTATTTTGGATGAGGGGCCTTGCCCACCTCCAGCAAGAGAAGTCCGAAGTAAGTATCTGACTGAACAAATACTAGTCCACTGAAATCAGGATTTTGATACGAAATAATTCATACAAAAGGTCTTAGTGTGTTTTCGGGTATACCAGGATGATTCAAAAGTGAGCGGCATCCTTTCAGGAGCGTTTTCCTTGCATGAAAATGAGGCAAGAAGTTCCTATTATTTAGGGTCCGAAATTGCTTCCTAAAAGGTAGCTACTCCCCTTTAAATAGAATAAACCTTATAGACGATTTTATCTCTTTAATTTTGAAATCCTCCACGAAAAATTTTCGAAAATTAGTGCACGGCATGAGATTTAATGGTAAATAAGACTCTGAATTCAAAATTCCGGAATTTAATTCAGGGGCGTCACATGCGGGGGGGGGAGGTGAGTTTAAAAACATCCCTTCTTCTTTTGATATTGAGGATATTGTGATTTCGTTCGGAAATTATAAAATTCTAGAATTTGTCACGTGGAGAAGGTTCTCTTAGTTCATTTCGATAGAGCGTACCATTTAGGAGAAAATCGACTTTGAAAACTATCTGATTTGCGTAAATCACAATAACCTGAACATCAAAAGAAGAAGGGATGTTTTTAAACTTAGCCTCCGCATTTGACCCCTCTGAATAAAATTTTGGAATTCTGAGATGGGAGTCTTATCTACCATCAAATGTTGATGGCGTACACCAATTTTCGAAAATTTATTGTGAAGGATTTCAAGGTTACATGTACTATAGGAACAAATATTTGAGGTGTCCTATTCAAAGGGGCGTAGCACCCTTAGAAAGCATTTTCGGACCCTTATTAATAGGAACTTTTCACCTTATACTCATGCAAGGAATACGCCCCTGGAAGGATTTGACTTACTTCTGAATCACCCTGTATATTGCTGTCCTGGATAGTTCCTCAAAAGTCCTCTACGATAGCAGGTATGCATAACATTTGGGAACGCTCTAAAGATGCTAAAACACTGTTTTTCTGATTTTTCTCGGTAAATATTGATTTCACGACAAATCAAAGATGAGATAATTTCACACAAAAAAGTGTCATAGAATTTTTTGTCCGAGCAATATTGTTCATGATAAAGGCAGTTCGAATTTTAGAAAAAACAATTTTTCGCTGATTTTCATGAAATGTAGTGTTAAAATATAAAAAGAGTGATATCAAATTCTATTTTGGGAATTTTAATGAACTGGAAGGATATTATGCATGACCTTATTGGTTTTCATACGTATACATTGATGTCGGAAAGTTCACTCTAATACAAAGACCTAGGTAAGTAATTCTCTGGACTGGGGATGGGAATTGAGAGACAACCTGCTGTGGTTTTCAACACATGATTTTCGAGCCAGTTTACAGTTTCAGTTTCCCATTTTTCATTGCATGCAATTGATTGCTGCGATCCAGATTCCCAGCAATAATAATATGCAGAGACTATTTCACATTGAATCGGTATGACAGCGGCAGGACAAATCGATATTGAGAAGATATTACCTACATTATTTTGAAATCAGAAAATTATCGACGTAAAATTTGAAGTTTTCAAATGGTTGTAGGCATCTTTTTGTGAGTGATCAAATATCTGTCAGTCTAATTCTGTAATAAGATTTTTACAAAATTGCGAATTTAGTGGTTGTTTAGTAATTCACGTGACCGCGAAGTCGAATGGAAGATAAAAGGACTTGCAGTTCTTTCTCGGAGACGGTGTTATTGGCTTATTTTTCGGAACTATAGCACAACAAAAGACATCAACAGTGCAATATATATGTGATATATAACCAGGAAAAAACAGTTCTCACTTTTTTCCCGTGAGAAAAAAGTAATTTATGGGAAGTGACAATTTCTAACCTGTCAACAGAGATGACATCTCGAACTTTTTTTCCGTCACAGAAAAAGCATAATTTTCAGGCACTGCCCTGACAGACTGTGTAGAAAAATCTAGAAGTCTTTTGTCCATAGAAAGGCACAAAATGGACTTGCTGGGAGGTTATAAACAGGAAATGCTCCACATGCGATTTTTCTTAATTAGTTGAAAGTTGAATGCTCGTCGTCAACTTCGAAATATATCGATCAACTCTTTGCCAAAACTCTTCTGTTTATAGAACGTCAAATCTTTGATTCTTTGCCATGTTCTTCGAAAATTATTGAGATTCCCTTTCGTGCGCTACAAGATTAAAAAAATATTAAACCCTGCGATTAACAACGTCCGTGATTGAAGCACAAACAGTTGCATCAGAACCATCGAAGTGAAGCATTTCTCATTTGTAATACCGCAAGTGATACTATTTTACCGGAAATATTCGGCGATTGTTACGACAGCTTGTTGCATAATGATTTCGTCTAATGACATTGTTTATCAAAACTTTCGAGCCGTAGGGTAGAAGTTTTAGAACAATGTCATGAGCGAAATAAACGCAGCAAGCTGGAGTATGTCAATCGACGAATATATCCATCATGAATAGTATCACGAGTTGTATTCGTATGAGTATTTCATGATTGAGACAATTAACGAGCGGCTCGCGAGAGTTGCACATAATGCATCCATCATTCTGGCTTCCAAAAAAGTTATCGTTTTAAACGTCTAAAATTGTATTGCTGAAAAACGAGGAACATTGGTCACGTGTGGGTCTATTTGGCTTCTGTATTGGTAGAGCAAGTCCGATAAAATTTAGTAAACAAGAAAATATCTCTGTGATACAGAAGAAACCGTGAGTATGGCCGATTCTGATTGATTCTTGAGCGAGTGGAATAGCCAATGTGAAAAAAATATTATCCATATTTTTGCCTTTTTGGTCCATTTGAAATAGAATACGTACGTCAAATTACACCATGGAAGCGATAACTTTTTTTGATCAGACGACATTACAGTCGTCTTCAGAGAACATGTCGCATATGGACGGTGTCAGCTCTCTTAATCACCGCAGCAGTAAGAGCACTCATACCGTCCAACCGCGACATGTTCACTGAAGACGAGTGTACCTATACTATAAATTCAACATCGAAAGATATTACATTATAAACCGATAAATCATCTTACCCGATATATTACCTCTTCGCAATATTGATTGTTTACCTGCCTTGAATCTTGAGTAACATACGAGTTTCTTGTAGGTCATTGCCAATTTCTGAATAATGTTATTCATCGGGTGCATTCGAATTATATAATCTACAGGGTGGGGCAATAGTGCGTGGAAATCCAATTGCTTGTAGTCTTATGAAAACTAGAAACATGATTCGAAAACCAATGTGAACTACGCACCAAGAAAAATCTAGAGAGGCGACAGTTATTTTTTTGAATGGAATGCCATTTATGTGTATCAGAAAATGTTTTCAAGCATATCAGTGACGTTTCTTTGATTTTAATTGAATTATTGAATTTATACACTGATGTGTCATATGAAAGTTCAATTTGGAATTAATATTATAAGTGAATATCAACTTCCTCTATATGTAACAGGCGATTCAATAAGAGTGACGAGGTACTGTATCTCACAAACTAATAGTTTATAGAACTCGTCCTCTAGCGAGGGCGTTAAGGACCATCAGAATGGCAGGAATGCTAATTTATTTTATTCATCAAACATACCTTTCTTGAACCAGACCTTGTTAGTTGATTTATTAGTTCCTGAGATACAGTTTCTCGTCGCCCTTATTGAATCACCCAATACAATTGAAGACCACAGAAGAAAAAGGGGGAATGTCACAAAAAGTAAGTTTCGAGACAAACGCATTTCAAAGTTTAAAACCTCCTCACTTTTTGGAAGTTGAAGGAAACTGAGATCAAACCACCTGGATTCAAATATAAAATCACAAAATGATCGAACATATGTAATTCTACTAATTCACATCTGTATCCGTCTTCGAAATGGGTTTTTTGTTGGTATATTCAGGCATGAATTGACAAAAATTCATAAAATACGAAGACAAGATGAAATGAAACGAGTATGAAGTTTAACATCATTTATGTAATTCTTGTAAATAAATGCGGACACGAAAAATAGGAAAATACAAAAATTGTGCCAGTTCTAATAAGCAGCTCCATAAAATTGATGAGGAACAATTTCATTCTGTTGAGCCTTCTGCGACTGGTAGTATCTCCATGGGTAGAAAACATTCGACTGACGACCCTGTGGATATACAAAATGTTGTCGTTGTTCCCATAAACTTGACTGCAATAGTCCAGAATGTCCAGATGGGAACTCGTTGATGCCATCCTGTGGAGATTGTCCGTATATGGCTGTCAATTGTTCAACATTGATTCTATGACTCATGGATTCAACCCAAACTTGGTAGAATTCGTAAAACTCTAGTTGCTCTCTGCTTTCGATGTCTTGTTGACTAGAGACGATCAACCGTCGAACGAAAACATTCAAAGAATGTACCAAAGTGTTCCAGTTTACACCGTTGATGTTTTGTTGTTCAATTGCATAGAAACCTCTGAAAAAGTTATTCAACAATTCCTGTTGGTCAGAAGACAGCTGCTGTTTAAATGCCATCCACTGGTTCTGTGCAATCTCATATTGCTCTTCGTGAAGTTGGCTCCAGATACCACTACGTCTTTGTACGTTTAGGCTAAGCCATTGAGGAAAGAGAGCTTTGAACTCACGTAGTTGTGCTTGGTTTAGCTGCTGTTGGAACAGAACCCATGTTTGATAAATATTTTGCAGCCCTTGTTCGAAATAGACAAGACTTTCTACATAATTGTACCACCCCTGGTATAGCCTAAGGAAGTATTGGTTCTGCACAGATTCCACTTCTTGTGGGCCAGAGACCAATTGACGCATGTAACTATTCAGTTGTTGTCTCACTTGGATCCACTCTCCAGGATTGATCTGCTGACGCAAAATGATGACACAAATCTGATAAATATCGTTGAGCTCCTGTTGTTGCTCAACACTGAGGTCAGTGTAAAGTTTGACCAACTCATTACGGAGTTCGTTGTATTCTTGATGTTGGAGTTGACTCCACTCTCCGACTACCCTTTGTTGGCTATAGCTGAGCCAACGTGGT